CCACCGCGACCTGCTGGTTTAGCACCGGCCCTAAACACAGCTCGGCATGCTTCACCGTGCCTCCTCGTTACCCACGCTGCACAGGCAGGGCACGATGCCCCGGGCAGGGGTTAAAGGATGCACCCAAGGTTACACAGGGGCTGTTGCAGGGCTGGGTGATGGCCAGGATTTAAAAAAAAAACAACACCCCCAATGTTCAAGTCACCCCAAACCCACACGTTTCTGCCATGTAAAGGAAACACAACTAATATCTAGCTATGCGCATACTGGGGTGTCATTGTAATCGTGGAGCAATGTGGATTTGGGGTGACTTGAAAACTGGGGATTTTTTTAAAGTGGAAAAAACCAGGCTCCCTGGTGATGATGGCACATCTCCCCAGACCCAGGCCAGACCCAGGCTACCCCTCTTGGAGCAAGCTGCAAATCACCGGGCCTGGAAGTGGGGAGACGGGGATGAAGATGAGGTGCGGGATACAAGCCGCTACCCTTGCCAGAGGGAGGCAGGCAGGCAGGGGCCGGGGGGCTTCCAGCACAGGTTGAAAGGTGGAGGAAAGACGTGCACCTCCGTCCCGTTCCCCAGGCCCTTGCCTTTGCCGCGCACTCTTCAAAGGCCTTTGATCGGGGCTCTTTGACATGCAGCGCACAAGCGCCCCGCGCCATCTCCCTGGATGTGCCGCGCGCCCCGGGAGCCAGGCTGAAAATTGAAGCCGGGAGCTGACAGCCCGGCTCTCCCGGGGCCCGGCCTGTAATGATCACATCAGCGTTGGAAGAGGATAAATGGGCTCTCCCCGCAGAGCCCCGCTCTCCTCCAGCACGAGGACAGATGCGCGGGCAGGATGCGGGGAGCCGAGGGATTCGTAATGTGGTTGGCGGCTCGGGGTCTCGCTGGGCAGCACAAAAGGCCGGGGGAGGGCAGGGGGGCGGATTATAATCTCCCGGCGCAGGCTGGTTTTAATCCGCGCCTGCTCTGGGATAATTCGCCTGCGGGAGATTAACCCCTATTATATGCAGCCGTTCGCAGAGTCTTAGGCAGGGAAGGAGGCGTGAGCAGGCTGACCTCCGGCAGACCCAGCCTGGAGATCCGGCACCCCCAGGGTTAAGCAAGGGAGAAGAAAGCCTGTTTTTCTCCTCTTTGTGCGGCTGTTTTCCTTTCGGGGGCGGGAAGTGGGGAATCTTTCCAAAGACACCGTTGAAATGACAACAGCTAGGCCTGTGCGTGTGCGTGTGCAGTGCATGTGCGTGTGCAGCCTGGACGTAAGTGCGCACGCACTGCACAGGCACAAACGCGGGGGCCAGCCACGCCGTCTGAAATGGCTACGAGCAAAACCAGACCATTTGGAAACCCCGCTCTTTCCCCAGTTCACAACCACTGGTGCCAGCCTCACCTAGACAGCCCCCAAACCGGGGCGTCCTAAGCCCGGCGATGCTCCGTAAAGAGACCGCTGAGATCTAGCACCCGGCTGCGCCGCTGAGCTCGGCCAAGTCATTTCTCTGCCTCAGTTTCCCCATCTTATAACAATACCAAGCTCTTTGCTTTGAGCTCAGCTGATGAACGCGGCGATATAAGAATGAGATGCTGGTACTCGGACCCCATCTTTCCCCCTGGCCCGGCTGACAGCAGCCTTTTGGCCCAGGTTAATGATGATCAGGGATCCTGGTTTCCTCTGATTTAAAAACATCCCCAATTTGGGGTTAAAAAAACCAACAACCCCAAATCCACATTTTTCCATGATTAAAATGAAACACCACTCTATCTATCTATCTATCTATCTATCCATCCATCTATTGTGTTTCATTTAAATCATGGAAAAATGTGGATTCAGGGTTCCTTTTTTTATCTCTATACGTTCTGTGTATATTTTTTATCTATATATTAGCTGCATTTCATTCAAATCATGGAAAAATGTGGATTCGGGGTTCCTTTTTTATCTATAAATTAGCTGTGTATATTTTTTCTTCTCTGTATATTAGTTGTGTTTCATTCAAATCACTGAAAATTGTGAATTTGGGGTTCCTTTTTTATCTCTATATGTTCTGTGTATATTTTTTATCTATATATTAGTTGCGTGTCATTCAAATCATGGTAAATTGTGGATTTGGGGTAACTTTTTTCTTTTTTAACCAAAAATTGGGTTTGTGTTTTTTTAAAGCAGAGAAAACCAGGATCCCTGATGATTATTAAAAGTCAATTAAAGCATCCCATGATGCAGGTCTAAGGAGGTACTGGAGAAGGGCAAAACCCTCATTAATTATACCCGTGTCCTTTGTGAGACAGCCCTGTGTCGTGCATACAGGAGCGAACCCCTTTCCCCAAATTTGCTGGAAGAGTCTCGAGCACTGCTGGGAGCAGCTGGCACGGGCTCCTCAGCAGGCGCGAACACGATGAGCCAAGCCGCGGCAGGACGCGACCAGGGGGCAAGGTGTGGCGGGGCAGACCTCAAAGCAATTTCTGCTCTGCTGCAGCCTGATCCCGAAGGAGCCAGAATTAGTCCCCCTGGCCCACCTCATCCCCACCCTTGGCCTTGTCAGTGCCGAGGGGGATGGATGGAGGTGGGACCCTGGGAGGTACAAGGATGTGGGATTAAGCTCCAAGCCTCTCAGGGGGACAGGTGGGTCAGGCAGAGCAGGCTGCTCACGGCCCCTTCCCCATCATGACCTTTCCCCACGTTGCTTGGATAACCGGGTGCTGATTAGCAATAGCCCCTGGCTGGGATCTGTCAGCCCGGGGAGAGCATGGGGCAGCCATGCGGGGCTCAGGGGCAAAGCAGCCACCGCAGCGCCTACTAAAAACCAGCCCCCGCAAGAGCCATGTGCATGGGGAGGGAGCATGCCAGGGTATCACGCATGCATGTGTCGGGTGGGGTAGAACCGATGCACTAGCGAACACAACCCTAGACACGCCCGCGTGCACGCACGCCACTTCACACGCATCCCCCCCCGCCCCCGAGGCGTGCTCACACCCGCCGCCAGCTCGCACACCCGCCAACACTCCATGCAGCTGTTCCCTCGGTCAAAAATAGTGCCAGCCTCGCGGGGTCACATCTACTTAATTAGCCTGATCTGTCACTCGCTGCGCCCGAGGACGCTTCCCGGCCCGAGACAACAGCTGCAGCACATCAATGAGCCCTGGGAGAAGGGCAAAGGGGGTGGGGGGCTGACAGTCCCCGAGGGATCTCCTGGCTGGCACCAACTGGTGACCCTGGGGATCCGTCCCCCTCCCGTCGCTGTCAGGTGCTGCTCATCCCAGTGCTCCCGGTAGGTGCAGCTCCCGCAGCGATCGGTGAGATGGATGGCTGGTGGGTCGTGGAGCCCCCGGCAGTCACTGCTCCATTAATTCCCATGGGAGGATCACAGTAGCCACGGCGGGCACCCTCCAGGGTGCAAAGGGTTAACCGCCCCCTATCCACCCCCTCCCCAACCATGTGCTGCTGCAGTGCTGCTGCTGCTGCCTTACCTCTGCTGTTCTCAGCATCCGGAGCCACTCGGTCGTCCTTGGCGGCCAGCTGGGTCTGGGCTACCAGTGCCCCCGACAGCGCCAGGAGCCCCGAGGTGCCGGCCAGGCTGGAGGGGGGCAGGCCGGAGGGGTGGGGGGTGAGCGGGATGGGGGGCCCCAAATCCCACCCCCCCACAAGGCTGAGGGGCCCCCTCCCTCTAGTCCCAGAGTCCTTTGCACCCATTGCAGCAGCTGGGGCTCAGTATGACCAGCAAGCAGGACCCCTCCCACTATGCTCCAGATGTGAGGACCAGCAGGCCTAATGGTGAGCAACGCCCAGACCCCTGTGGGGGTGGCACTGCAGGCTCCCCGTGCTCAGCTTCCCACCTCCCCCCTTGAGCCGAGCTACTCACCCCAATGATGCTGTTCAGCTCCCCCATGGTCACCTGCTTGGCCCGTTCCACGGCCTGAAGCACTTGCTGCTGGTGCTGCCCGGGAAAGCAGGGCGGTCAGGGGTGCTGAGCATCGCGGGGTGAGACCCCTGGGGCCACAGCCGGGTGGGGAGGGAGGTGGGGCCGCAGTGGGGTCCACACAGGGATGATCCAGGGGGGCATTTGAGCATCCAGCCCACCCCACCCCACCCCCTGGGACCTTGCCCAGCTGTTCTGGCCTGGGTGCTTCTCCCCCACGGGCCCCGCGAGATGCTGCTGGTGCCCCGCCAGCCTACGGCCGCTCACCTCTTGTGTCAGGAAGGGGATGATCTGGGCACAGATGGCGCTCAGCCTCTTCACGATCTCGGCCTGGAGGAGGAAGGGGGCATCCGGGTCACCCGGGCGCTGAATCCAGGCTCCGGTGGTCCCTCAGGCCACATGGGTTTAGGAGCCAGGTAGATACCATAGACACAGCCTGGGCACGGGCTCAATTCCCCACGTCCCTTCCCAGGCTGCTTCAGGCTTGGTGTAGCCCCACGTGGGACTCTGGGCTCAACTACAGCTGTGGCTCAAATACAGCTGTGGCTTGTGCCCGCTGGGAGCTGCCAGCTGGGCACAAGCGCTCCTTGCCCCCACAGATCCTGGAGCTCTCCGCAGCCTCGCCATCAGGTGGGGAAACTGAGGCACGCAGCGGCAGCAGGACCCATCTCCCTGGCTCTAACCACAGCCGGACGCAGAACTGGCGCCCACACCACGCTCATGCCCGGAGCAGGGAGCACAACCCAGGCATCCGGGCGCCAACATCCGCTTTGCCTGGCACTTAAAAAACCCCTCCTTCCTTCCTCGCCATCCCCTCGCGGCCTGGCACTCCCGGCTGGGTCCCCGGGGTGGTCTCGGATGCCCACAGGATCAGCAGCAGAGGAGGGCACAGCCAAGGGCAGCACCAGTGCCAAACCTCCCCGCTCACAAAAGGAGCAAGCGCGGGGGGCTGAGCCAGCTGGAGAAATATGGCAGTTGACTTGCCACTTTGTCAGGCACGGCTCCAAGCTAATTTCCCTGGCAGAGAGCCCTGCGATGACTGGGTTGATAAATCTGAAGAGGGAAAGCAAATTACGGCAGCAACAAAGGGGCCGGGGCCGGCTGGAAAACACTGCGCCGGCTCCGAGCAGGGGGGAAGCCGAGGTCCGGTTGCCACCAGCCGCTCCGGGCACCCCACCATGCCCTCCTGGCCCCGAGATCGCCGGCAGAGGGGAGGCCGTGCCAAGGCTGGCTGGGAATGGGGTTTAGGTCCTTAAAGGTGTGGGGGGGCATCTCAGTCCCTGTGGTGTCAGAGGGATTTAGGCACCTCAATACACCCACTAAGGCTTAAGGACATGGTCCCTGCTCAGGGACCCCACCCCTGCCCTGTCCCCCCTGCGCTCCTCAGGGTCCTGGCATTTGTACAGCGCCGAGCGCAGCAAGAGCCGCTCCCCACCGGGACTTGGTGCCACCCAGCTCAGCGTCAGCGAGCTCTGGGTTCAACGCCCGCTTTGAGGGCAACGTGGAAGGATTGTGCCCCAGGGGGGAGCGCCTGCCCCGCGTTGGGCCTGGGCCCCTGGCACTCACCTGCTTGTGCATCTCGATGTTGAGCCCGTAGGACATCTCGTAGTACTGCAAGGGAAGCCAGACGACGGCCCAGTTACAGGGGGGTCCCACGGGGCATTAGCGGGGTCCCTCTCTTGGGCACTGGCAGGACAAGCCCCCCCACCTTGGCCCTCCGGCCCCCGGCAGCTGCAGGAGAGGGGCTCTGTGCAGCCCACCCTCCCCTGCCCCACGTCCTACTCACAGCAGGTCCTGCCTGAGCTTAGTGGGCACCAATGCCCGCCTGCCCTCCCCCCGCAACATACCTGCTCTACCCACTGGCGCACACTCCCCCCGGGGAACTGGCACCTGTGGGGTGAAGTGGGGGGTATAGGGGGTGGCAGAAGGGACTCGTAGCCACGTGGGGACAGGACCCCAGCCTCATTGCCTGG